GCCTCTTATTTCCTTTCCTTGCTTGATTGATCTGGTGAGGGTGGTTGGTAGTATGTTGGGCAGCATGGGCATGAGCAGGGACACCCTTGCTTTGCTGTGGTCAAAATGAGCTCTCAGTCTTTCTTTGTTGGGTGTGACATTTGCTATGGATGATTTTTTTTTTTTTTTTTTTTTTTTTTTTTTTTTTGCGGTACCAGGGATTGAACTCAGAACCTTGTGCTTGCCAGGCAAGTGCTTATTCTACTGAGCTGTCTCCCTGGCCCGATGATTTGGTTTTGAGTGTTAAAATTGTAGGCATTTCACCCACATTCTTTTCTTGGCTTTCGTACCTAGAAAGGAACCCTCCTCTAGCCACGTATATGAGAGCAGCTGTTGGCTTATATGTTCTTTTGATTCGTTTGTGGTTTCAAGTTCTATGCTTACTTCCTGAATTCATCTGGAGTTTATTTGTGGAATAAAGAAATGATCTAGCACAGCGTTTTATAATAAATACTTAGCTAGTTGGGTAGTATTCCTTATCAATTACTCCCTTTCCCCCCGTCATATACCTTGTTACCTCGTTCAAGCTTCTTCCTTGCCTCCTGTGGTTGTTAGGGGAAGAGACTTGCTTTTTGGAAAAGATTGTTAGGCTGCCCATCTGATGTTTCTCTTTCTCTGTTTGTATATTCTCTGTTAGACATGTGTAACAAACATGCTAAAAAGTTAATCTCAACTCTTAACATGTTTCCCACTAGAGTGGAATGACTTAGGAAATCTTTTTTTTTTTTTTTTACTTTCCCTTAGAAAAGACTAAGAAAACCACAAATCACCCCTAAATCCCACCTCCGCCCAAAGAGTCAACATTCACATGTAATGACTGTCATTACGAACTAGGAGCCTAGTGAGAAAGCTGGTTGGTGCCCTGACATCCATCACTCTCACCTTGAAGGGTTGAATTCAATTCTGCTTGAATTGCCAGGGGGAAGAGGCACTGAGCTGAAACTGAAGGCACTACTGAATCTGAGATAAACATTTGTGGTGCAAGAGAGCTAGCTCTAAAATTCGAAGGTAAAATACTTTTAAAAACTTTAAGAATGTAGAGTTTAAGATTACATTTAATTTTAGACTGTGTCAGTGGATCCTTGTCCTGTCTTGAGAGATAACTGTTCTCAATCAGCCTCTCACCTCCTGATCTGGTACCTGTCATTTTCATCTGCCAGACTAACATCTGGCTCAGTCACGTATTCATGCTTCTTCACTACTAGCCTCAGTTCTGAATCTTTATGAAGGGAGCCAGAGGATTCCTGAGTTCTGTTGTATTATTAGATTTTTTATTCTTTGTTTGTGGTTTGCCTTTGCTGCCCATCTTTTTCCCTCCCTCACTCCCTCCCTCCCTCCCTCCCTCCCTCCCTTCCTTCTTCCCTTTTTCCCTTCTTCCCTCCCTCCCTTTTTCCCTTCCTCCCTTCCTCCTTCCCTCCCTCCCTTCCTCCCTCTCTCTCTTTCTTCTTTCTTCCAGGAATACTATCCCTGTCCAGGTTTTATTGGTCTTCCCTTCCTTCCAGAGAATTTTTTCTTTTGGTACTTGTTTCTGGATACATTTCTGTTTTGGGTTCTGCTGTTTGTGTATTCCTGCCCTGTACCATCAACATAATCTCAGACTCTTTCCCTGGCACCATGTTCTTCTCTTGTGGCTTCACTTTTTTTTTTTTTTTAAAGATTTATTTATTTATTTATTCATTCATTTTGTGTGTGTGGCCAGCTCAGCCCACCAGGGGGCGGGGCTGGCTGGCATGTGGTGCTGGGGGATTGAACCGCGGTCCCTGTGTTTTGCTTAGCTTGTCCTAAGTAGGTGCTTTAGACCACTGAGCCATCTCACTAGCCCTTCACTTTTGAAGTATAATACCAAACCTTGTTTTTTGTTGCATCATTACTGGAAAATCCTTCACTCCTGACCCTTGTTATTCTGTTAGGCTCATAGGGGCAGACACTTCTTGATCTAACCCTTTTTGGCTATCTTTGCTCCAAAACTCAATGATGGTTAAACAGGTTGTTATTGACATCACTCATGCACACTGTGGTTTATAGGGCTAGGAGGAAATGTCCTGTTTCTGGGGATAGTCTGCAAGCAAAGGCAGGAAAAGAAGGTGATGAAGCTTGCCTGCTCATGATGGGCAGACTTAGGATTGGTTGTTGAGGCCAAGGAGGATCAGTGACCAAGGAACAACCAGGCTTTAGAGGAGATGGTTTTCGGTCAGGCCTCAGAGCAGCATGGAGTCATTTGAGGATCTAAAGCAGTGCTAGGCAGAAGGTCAGGAGGTTAGGCCCTTGTCACCATGAAGGTCTGCAGGGCCTTTGTTCTTTACTGAAAGGGACAAGGCACCAAAGAGTTACTAGGCTGTTGTTGTTCAGAGATCATCCTGGTTGCAGCATGGAGCAAGCCTGGAAGGGGTGAGGAGGAAGAGGTAGGGAGACCTCATTGGTGAAAGTGATAGAGTGCCTCACTTCTGCTCATTGGCGTCAGGGAGGGTGGTGAGACGTAGGTGGTGTGTATGTACTATGATGGTAGAGGAACAGGACATGGTGAGGGATTGCACACTCCAGCTAACTGCAGTCTTTGGGAGGGCTCTCGGGAGGTAGACTGAGGTCATGGGAATGTCCTGGGCCAGAGAGGGACAAAGTCCAGACAGTGGGGACATAGCACAGTGAGAACTGGGAGGGGCTATGGAGTGCTTCTGATCACTTGGCAGACTTCCAGAATGCTCATGGAAGTCTTCTCACCATTTCTGTGACCTTGACTGAGAGTTGGGTGGGTACGCCAAAGGTATTTAAAGTCTTTTCTGTAGAGAATCTCATATTGCTTCACTGTGTTTTTCTCCGTCTGTTAAGTATTTTTAGTCATTCATTTAGATTTGCAGTCAGAGTACTTCACATCTCTGAGTGGCCTCTTATAAACAGCAAACAAACATGGTCATCTTTCTCCAAAGCACTTTATTAGGGCTGTTTGGTGTGAAGACGTGGTGCCTCCACATTCAATGTGGGATACAAGTCAGATTAAGTACCTGAATGAGATTGTGACCCAAGAATTGGCCTGGAGGAACCTGCTGTCCTAAAGCACTTCCACTGTGCATAAGTAGCTGGTGCTTGCTTTTGCACTTGTGCCTGAGGTGGCCTTGAGAAAATCTGCTGGCAGGGTCCAACCTGGGGCTCAGAAATCACATGTAATGATCCAGCATCAGTTAGGCACTGAGATGGGCTGTGCAGGACCTCTGATTGCTTGATTTCTGACCCATTTCACAGATGGGGAGGGAGCTGTGCTTATGGTGGTATGAAGGTGTTGTGCTTCTTTTCCTATGTTTGTCCATTCTGTTCCAATCTTTGCTCAACTCTGGTTTGTGCTCTTGCGATGTCCTGCTAATGTGTCTTGTAAGGATGAGGGAGGTTGGTGATGCCTCCTACATGTGGTAAACAGGACTTGGGAGTCCTGCCTGGGCATCTGTCTCAGTGTTAGTTGTTGCCCAGGGTCTCCGACATGCTCCCCTGTGGTCTGCGAGGCTCTTTTTCCCCTTCACTGATTTATCAGAAGTTGTATTTTCCTGCTTCTTGAGAACACAAGCTAGCAAAAGGAAGAATTTGACTGAGATGGAACATTGGCTTCAGTGCTGGGGCCCACAGTACAGGCCTAGCTGTGACGAGTCAGCCTGGACCTCTCTCTCCACTTCATGTCACAGTTGCAGCAGGGCCCTGCCTATCGGGGCTGAGACAAGGGAGGAGGCTTTAGTCCCAGTGTCAAGGGAGGAAGGGAGGACTGTTTTTGTTTGTTTGTTTTTTCCTATTCATTATATTTAGCACCTTAGTTTTTTTTCTTTTTCTTTTTGCAGTACCAGGGATTGAACTCAGGACCTTGTACTTGCCAGGGAGGCACTTAAGCCACTGAGCTATATTCCTGACTTCTTAGCCATTTTTGTATGTCTAGTTCAGTAGTGCACAGTATGTTCTCATCCCTGTTGAACACACTGTGGGATGTTTCTGTCTGGTTAGCTCCACTCACTGGACACAGATTGCACTCCCTCATGGTGTGAGTTCTAACAGAGTGCTCCCGGGAGCATCTGTGTGCATACCGGGTAAATGTGTGCTGCCATGCCTGTCTCCCACATGACTAGATTTTGGTGGCTTCAGGTGGAGGGTATTGGTGACCTGGGCTCACCAGGGTCATCAGGCAGGGTAGCCAGCCCTCAGCTTATCTACTCCCTAAGCAGAACAATTTCAAGGCCAAACCAGATCTGAACCTGACCCTGGCCAGGAGCCTTCTCCCTGGGTGCCTCTGTGTGTGTGTGTGTGTGTGTGTGTGTGTGTGTGAGAGAGAGAGAGAGAGAGAGAGAGAGAGAGAGAGAGAGAGATGGGGGCTTCTGTGGTGTCCCTATCAATTGCTCTTGAAGGATTCTGACCATTGCACCTGGTTCTCTGAAAGCTGCTCTCTATTTCTCTCTTCCCTGCCTCGAGCGCATAGAAATACCTACCACCTTGCTGGTGGTGTTGGCAATTTTTGCTCCATGAAGTCCTGCTGAGCTGAGTTTCTTATGACATAGCTTTGGCGAGGCAGGATGTGTATTGGAAATATGCCAGCACCTTGCTTGTTGCCTCTTAAAGGCTGCTTCATTTCTGTACTGTCTCTTTCCTGAGAGGTGTCTAAAAGCTTGAATCAGAAATGCAGTGCTGTTTCCATCCTCCACCCCATGCACTTGGCTGGGGACAGAGCAGGGCTGTTACCTATATAGGGGCATGGCACTATGTGTCTGCCCTTGGAGAGGTGAGTACTGCTTTGCTTTGTGCCACAGTGACATCTCTTGGAGTGTGGTCTCCTATTGAAAGTTGAATCTCCCTGTGTAGGAAAGGGTCCTCGGTGCATGTGCTCAGCTTTTGGCTGTAAGGCTGCTCCGTGAGCTTCCTTACTGAGGTTTCTTGCTGCTGTTTGGGGACACTGTCTGTAATTTGACCGTCTTTTCTTTTTTCTTAATTTACAGCCAGAAAACCTGCAGAAGAACTGGCTTCGAGAATTTTACCAGGTAAGAACTACTGCGAGTGTGCCTTTTCAGAATAGCTACTTGTGTGATGCATATTTGTGGTATTTCCACATGAGGGTCAGATCTTGTCTGTGTGACAAGCTTGTGTGGCTGTCACTGTATGGAAAGCAGGCATAGCTATTTCTGACTCAGATGGGCTTCATGTATGTGTTTGTTTTGTTTGTTTATTTAGTACTGGGAATTGAACTCCGGGCCTTGAGCTTGCCAGGCAGGTGCTGTGTCCCTGAGCTATATCCCCACTCACATCTGTGTGTTGTTCCTAGTCTTCCACAGAGGCCACTTTTCATGTTCTGGCTCCCACTGAGCCCATGATTCATTACTACTGTGGTTGGGTTTCTGTAGCATCATGAGTAGAAACTGTTGTTTTGCAGGAGGATCCCATTGGTGCCATATGAGGCCTGGATGGGCACCCAGACAGGCAACATTGGCACATGGAAGGGTCACTGGGAGCTTGGGTGGCTTTTAGGATGGTGCTTTTAGGATGAGGTGCAGATTCCTTCATTGACCATCAAGCAAATGAATTTATGGTACCTGTGCTGTGTTGTATTCTGTCTCAGACATGGGGACATGGCTCAGAGAAAAAACAGAAGTCTCTGGTTCCCTCAGCACATATTCCAGTGTATGTGTGGGGGAGATGGGAGATTAACATGAAGAGGAGGAGGAGGAGGAAGAGGAGGAGGCCTGCATGTAATTTCATGGTTTCCCCTGGGTAGGTGATATCAGGCTGCTCTGAGGGGTAACCTTGTGGTTGAGACCTGCAGAGTATGAAAAGGAGAGATGCCAAGGAGGGCCTGGGGGTGACTGGGTGTCTGCAGTCCAGAGAGAGGGCCTGTGTAGACTGACCACAGATGCTTGGAGTTTGTGGTCTGTGGCAGGGCCAAGTTGGGCCTGAAAGCATTCACATTCCCTGGCTTCTTTGGTTGTTTGGTGGAGGTGGGTGGGGATGGGGCTGGAGTAGGAAACCAGGCTACCTGTTGGGAGCAGTGTGAAAATGGACACCCAGGGCCTATGAAGCATGCCTGTCTATAGCCTTATAGGTTGCCTGAAATGCAGGCAGAGGTGGAGATCGGAGGTTGTATTGTGGGCAGTGATCCATGCTGGACATCTTGTGATGGTGTGTGTGTGCGCGTGTCTGCCTGGCCAAAGCCCTAACACCCTACGAGATACTCGGATAGCATTCCTTCCCTTTCACCTCCATGAGTATCTGCATGGGTGTTTAGAAGCAGTCATTCAATATTTGTAAACCTCTTGTCTACCAAGTATTGCACTTGATTCTGGGACAGAGAACTCTGTGGAGTAGTTAAGACTTAGCTGGGGAAAATTGTGGAAGAAGAACATTTGTTGTGGGGAAAAAGGAGTTGGCAGTCTGAGGAAGAACTCAAGTAGTGAAGAGACAAAGGAAAGTGTATCAGAGAAGGGTCTCAGCAGTAAGAATCCCTGTCAGAGGAAAGTCTCAGCAAGGGGAAGGGGAGGGATCCTTCATCAGAGGAAGTTGTCAGACAGTGAAATATACATGGGAAGGCTCTATCAGAGGAGGGTTTCCAGCTGACCTCATAGTTAGGACCTGGACCCTGTGGGTCACAGGGCTGCTGCTTTCTAGATCTTGTGGAAGGCAGTGTGAGGTGAGTGATAGGGGTTTCTGTGTAATATTTTATTTGTTTATGAACCCCATGTGGGCAGTGGGCATATATTTCTCCATTCTTGCAGTCTCTGGAAAGGTACTGTTCAAATCCTTTGTTTGGACCAGAAAGCAGACAGGCTTGGAAAGAGTCCCCGGGCCATGTGGGAGATAGCCATAATGGGAGATGGCAGTGTTTTGTGGATTATGAACCAGCTCCAAGGACAGTACAGGGTTAGTCACCTATCCAGGATTGCCTACACACAGGAGGTAGCAGAGGTCCCATAGGCCACAGTTATAGTATGGCTATGTTAGGGAACATGATATGAGAACAAGATGGTGATGGCCCCTCTTGAAGTTCTGATCACTGTTCAGGTCTGCAGGGACTCTGTGTGGCCGGCAGCACATATAGCCCAAAGGGAACCTGCCTCCTCACACAGAGAGCTTTGGATTTTCTGCTCTCTGGGTGTGGAGATTGGTTGGGGAGACAGGGTCTTTTGTGCTAGGTGTTTAGCTGGTGACAAATGGAGTCTTTTCCTGTAGGTAGTAAGGAACCAGTCCTTCTTGGGGGTAGGGCAGCCTCTGATGTCCTGCCTGGACCTTTATGGAATATGCTAAGAGGTGGTGTTCATTCTTTATAGATCCTTGGATCGGTGCTTATAAGACAGTACTAGGTGATTCCTAGTCTGCTGACAAAATAGAGGCAGGAAGTGATGAAGCCATGGACTCCTGTGGGGGAGGGCCATTAGAGACAGTCTGAGCGTAAGGCCCACCAATAGGCGGGAGCCCTACTTTGAACAGTTCCAGGAAGGGCACCATCTTGGCTCTGTTCTGTGTTCTTCCCACATGACTTATGTGGGCTTCTGCATCCCATGGTAGGACTTGATACAGTTCCCAGGGCTCTCCCTAGTGCTGCACAGACTGCTCTCTCTGCTCTGCCACTTGATTGTGCCCTTGTACATACTAGTCTGAAAAAGGAGTGAGAATGGGACAGGCCCTGTTCCTATATCCAGAAAGGAGGGACATGGGAATGAACATATAGCCTGTCCTCTGATGTGTGCTGAGTGAGAATGAAGTGTTCATGGGAAAGTCTGGGAATTGAGAGAACTATAGACCCCTGTACATGTCCTGGCATATCACATATAGTGGCAGTGTCACAGACACCCCACAGTGAATTTCAGAGCCATTGCCTCTGTCCATTCTTTTGTTCATACATCATTCAGGCACAGAGTAGCACATTTGGGAAGTATTGTGAACAGGACACACTACCCACCTTGCAGAGCATCTGTCTCACTGTAGCTGAGAAGTGAGGGTGGGTGGAGGAGCTCTTTTTGTTAGAGAGACTGGCCTAGGGCCAGGGATATAGCTCAGCAGCGTAAGTGCCTACCTGGTAAGGTAAATTCAATCCGCAGTACCAAATATAAATTGTGTGTGTGTGTGTGTGTGTGTGTGTGTGTGTGTGTGTGTGTGTGTAGGGAGAGAGAGAGAGATAAGGGGGCAGCAGGCTGGCCTGTAATCTGAAGGATTAGGAGAAGTTCTGCTTTTGCTGGTTGAGTGCTGATTTGATGCTTCAAGCTCTGTGAATGAGGTAGCTAGGAAGTCTGGTTTAACTTTCTTAGTGTTATTGTTGATGAAGAATGTGTACTTCAGTGTCAGCTTTCAGGAATAGGGACCTATCTGACCTTTCTCATAGCTGTAACTTCAGCATCTGCCTGTCTGCACATGGTATGTGCATAGGAGTTACTTGTTGACTAACATTCTGAAGACATTGAAAAAGGCAAAGAGTATAAATAAATATTTCCTCCAGTCCCAGTTTGACCTCCAGGTTGAGGTATATACTTCACCTAAATGAGTCTTTTTTTTTT